CTACGTATCCTGCACTAGCATCAGCAGTTGCTTCTACTTCTTATGGAAGCCCAGCCACTTACGAACCAGCGCCACTACCTTACTCTGAAACCGTTCCTGCTTTGCCACCATCAATTTATCAGGACGCTCAATTTTCAACCGTTTATGCATCACCTGTACCGAATCCCACGGCTTATCCTGCACCAGAACCAGCAYCAGCCTCATATGATCCTGCTCCATTACCTTATTCARCATCCGAAGCTATTCCTGCTTCGGCACCAGCTGCGTATCAAGATACCTCTCAACAATCTCCATCTTATGCATCACCTGCACCGAGTCTAACTACTTATCCTGCACCAACACCAGCCTGCACCAACACCAGCACTTCTTATGGTAATCGGGATCAGTATTCGGTAGAAACTCTATCCTCTTACTCACCATCGAGTCAGTACCCTACAGCTACAGCCAATCAAGCTACAGATTCATATAGCGCACCTAGTCAACCTGCATATTCAGACGCTAATCAGAATCAAGCCGCGGCAATACCATCACCATATAGTGCTCCAGCTCCTGCTCCTTACTCAGTCTCTGATCAATATACGGCACCAGATCCAAACTYTTACGCGTCCACAAACCAAAATTCTAAACTTGGTCCCGATTCTTACCTCTATCCTAGTACAGCCCTAGMCACAGATCTAAGCTTACATTCTGCTCCTACTTCAGCATCGTTGTCATCRTCAATTCCTTACAMAGCGGAATATCCATTRCCTGCTCCTGTGGCCTTACCAGATCCTGCAATCGATTCCGCTARTTATACGCCGACATCTGCTTACTCGCCGACACCATCGCCGCCTGCATGTACGTGCGCATCAAATTCAGCGCAATCTGTTCCGTGGCGGTCTTCACAACCRAAAATTGCGTCGCTAAAATACGATATTCCTGCGATTATTGGAGGTCAAAATSATATTTCGGAAGCATATACACCAGACATCGATGCTTTAATTTCGAAATGGATTGATAGTAACCCCCTGATATCAAAGAATTGCTTGCAGTCTCTTGCGCCCTTTTATTATCAGCCTACTTATACGCTCATCGAATATAGAGGTTCGAAAGATCCACGTTCATATTAAAAAGTGACKTATAGACTGAACTGAAGTTTAGACTCGATTAATTTCCAATGTGATTCCTGTATGAATGTGTGTATGTAGTTGTAAGATTCCTCGACCCATTGGCATTGTTTATATATAAACATGTACCCATAATAGTTATTCTTTAAATATATAGAAAGCTTAATAAAGTCATATTTGAAAACAAAAGTATATATATTTTGGATCTTTTACACGTTGAATATATATTTGAGAACCTCGTAAGTTTTAATATACATAATAATTCCTTGCTTTAAAAGAACGATTCCAGATAGAAGTTCCAATCTATACGCAAAATAATGCCTCGATAATATAGAATACAAAGTMTACTCCATTTCAATACAAATCTCTAAGCCTGAACTTATTTTATCTAGTGAGCTCAGATTTAAAAGATATTAGGGTGGTTTTGTTACATTTAATTCATGTTATTCTTCACAAATGTTCCAAACTATTTGCTTTGGTGAAGGCTATTTTTAAGCCCGGTCGGATCGAGGCGACATTGTCAAGTTGGAGACATTTATAAAATAGGTTATAGAACAAACTTGTGTACATTGGGAAAACTATACATAACGGGAGATCTAAGGCATTTCATCATAGAGAGAACAACCTTTATAAATGAGTCAAGTTTATTAGAAGACCGTGGAGAGTCGATTCGGCTCCGTTCGCAGTAACTCGGACTGACGTATAGAACGATTTGGCATATTTTACGGCGAGATCAAAATATAGATTGTACAAAGCTGAAGTCGCTTGACCTTCCCAAGCGACATCTCTTCTTTCTATGGTCCCTTGAAAAGTTCCAAGAAGATCCGACGTTTTTGAGCCAACGATAACGATACGATGAGAAATGGGCCTCTCTGGTTCAATGGGTATGTTAACAAGAGTATTTAGGTACAAGAGCAACCTAAAAATATTCAAGATCTACTATTTCATCCAAAAAAAAAAAAATAATAATAATTTATGGAACCGTGGRATCATCGGTCTGTTTTTCTTCAAAAATGATGCCAGTGAGAACGCAACCGTCAATGGAGTCTATTATCTCGCCATGATAACCTACTAATCGGTTGAAATTGAAGCTCGTGATCTTGGCGGCATTCAACGAGACAGCCTCACTTCCCACACATCGCATCAATTTATGAATTTATTGAAAGAACACTTCAGTGAGCTGATAATTTCACGCTTTGAGCCTGTTAATTGGCCACCAAGATCGTGTGATATCACATTGTTAGACTTTTTTCTGTGGGGATAAATCTAAAGTCTATGCGAACAATCCCGTTTCGATTCAGGCCTCGGAGCAAGATATCACGCATGTCATTCGCCAGTTACCAATCGAAATGCTCGAAGGAGTCATCGAAAAGGGGACTCAATCATCTGAGATGTAGCCGCTGCCAACATTTGAAAGAGATAATCTTCAAAAAATAAATGCAAAGGATGTTATTTAGAATGATAATAACCATTCCTCATTAAATTTGATGTTCTATGTTTTTTTTTTTAAAGTACCGAACTACGAAATCCTGAGATTTATATGTTTGTTTCCTTTTTCGGTCGTTGAAAAATTTAGATATATAATTGTGTTTCAATATCAACCCGAAGAAGTTGTCTTTCACGATTTCACTAAAGAGATTTATTGAACAGTCAAAATTGAAGTTGAAGTAAAAGAAAGAAAGTCAAAGTATCGGATACTGCTAGGGATGGATATGGGGTTTATTTGGTAAAAGAGTAAAATCAAGCGGACTTTCCTATCTGTTCTCTTCACAAGTTCTCGGTTTTGTGTTGCTACCTTAGAATTTTCTATGATTTCTCTAGGTGATCTGGTGCCGAAACATTCAGAATGTTGGAAAAGGCTTTCGGTGATAAGTGTTTGACAGTGTTTTTGAATGGTACAAATTATTCAAGATGGGTCGAAAACGCATTGACGGCGAATCACGTCCTGGGCGGTCATCAACAGCATCTGATGATCAAAACGTTAATAAAATAAAGGAATCGGTGCTTGAGAATCAACAATTAATACTCAGAGATCTTACTGGCATCATTGGAATATCGGAAGAATCAGTGAAAGTCATTTTGAAAGACCATTTTGGCATAAGAAAAGTGAAAGCAAAAAATCACTCAACTCTTGGTATTTGCACAACCATAAGGTACCGTCGCATACTGCATTGATTCTTCTTGAGGTTTTTGTAAAATTTTAAACTTGTATCGTGCTGCTACCACCGTATTCGCCTGATCTAGCTCTGTGTGACTTTTGGCCATTCAAAAAACTCAAACGACCGTTCCGGCGAACCGGTTTGAGTCAACTCTTTCGAGAATTGAAAAAGACGTTGACACAATAAATTGGCGCATTTTTCTTAAAACAATCTATGTAACCTTTTAGTTATGAATTAGTGAAAATATTTCGGAGATTTTATGAATCTTCATATCACATTCCATAATATACATAGGCATACAATATTATCATATGACTTACCACTTAGTTTTGGTAATTATCAATGTCACATAGTCGGAAATTGTACTCACCTGAAAAAATACAAAATAATATCATATTTACTATTACTATTAGAATTAAAACATTTAAGGGCACGTATATTGGTAAAGAAATAGCTCAAGCATTTCATTCATACATATTTTTTAAAACACAAACGGTTCTTTATTAGCTCAGCGCCGAAGAATGTGGTACCAAAGCAGATATCAAGCGAACTTCGAGAGCCAAGAAGCACGTACTTTGGAGCAGTTGAAGACCAACGCCACCATAAGTGCATTGAATGATTACTGCACTAAGACACYTTCGGTAGGCAGTACACAGATTGTTCCCAAGTAGCGAAGGCACATAACCCGATAAGTATAATTCCTCTGCCACACACTATAAGTCTTTGACATAAAATTTAGTATAAAAGGTTCACGGCCGCCAGTTTAGTAGTATAACAAAACGACTACTCAGCAAATCAATTCAGATGCTTCAGCAAAAAATAAGTTATTTCGAAATGCGTTTTATTCTTTTTACTTATGCATTTATTGTGTCCGCTAATTCGGCTACCTATAACTTGAAATCACCGTCTACTTTGCCGCGTTATCTGAGTCCTGTACCATCTTCAGATCCCCAAGCACTAGTACCTTCCTATCAATATTCGGCACCAGCACCTGAACCTGCAGCCGYGACTTATGCAGCGCCAGCACCAGCACCCGCCTACGGAGCTTCGGCAATAGTACAACCACCTTGTGCGGGGGTGTCTGCCTCACTTCCTGAGCCATTACCGTATGCACCAGCTTTGCTGGCATCGGACTCATCGCCTTATATAGCTTCAGCACCGGTTTCAGCTCCTTACTCAGCACCAGAGCCAGTTCCAGTACCAACTCCACCACCAGCTCCTGTTACTTATGCAACACCTGCTCCTTACGCAACAGCTCCAGCGTCGATTCCTGATGCATATGCTCCGGTAGCATCAATTCAAGATGCCTATTTACCATCAGTGCCGGCCACATCTGCTTACGCAGCTCCAGGAATAGATCCCGTACCATCATCATGTCCTAATGCAGTCGCATCTGATACTTATGCAGCTCAGTCATCGGCTCAAGCTGCTTATGCAGCACCAGTAGACCCAACTCAAAATGTTTATGCAGCACCTGATCCAGCACCAGCTGATTACGCGGCTCCTGTACTCCGGGCAGCAACTTACACTGAACCAGATCCAGCTCCAGCACCTGCTCCGGCTGCTTACTCAGTACCATCACCAGCCCCACAAGCTTATAATGCTCCCGTACCTGCACCAGTCTCTTTTTATGCTGCTCCAAACCAAAGTGTCTCACCAGCCATATCCTCTTATCTAGCACCAACACAATCTGTCGTATCTTATGCTTCTCAGGCGGCCCCTCCAGCCCCTTGTGCCTCTCCAGTTCCGGCTCCAATTCCAGCTCCGGTGTCTTATGCTGCTCCTGAACCTGCTCAATCATCTTACGCTGCACCAGCACAGGGTTCCGCTCTTGCTTCATTGTCATCCTACACAGCTACTCCCCTCTCGCCTTATGAAAGCTCGGCGCCTGCTCCTGCTCCTTATTCAGTTCCGTCTCCAGGTCTGGTATCCTACGMCACTCCCGAACCTCCTCAACCAGCTTACGCTGCACCAGCACCCGCTGCCGCTCGTTATRCATCGTCATCTTACACAGCACYAGCCTCAACATCGCTTCCCGCCCCRTATGCAGCTTCAGCTCTATCGCTGTCCTATGCTGCACCTTCACCGCCTGCTTATGCTGCTCCTRAGCCAGTTCAACCATCTTATGCAGCACCAACACCGACTAACTCTGCTTATGCACTGCCATCTTACGTAGCACCAGCTCCAGCATCCCCTCCTACCTCATACCTATCCACAGCTCCAGCTCCAGTGTCCTATGCCGCACCTTCACCACCAGCACCAGCACCCGCACCTATTTTTCCCCCATATTCCAGTGCTGTTAAATACTATCAATGAACATAATATTATATGTTTAAAGTAGTTTCCGAAAAGATCAATAAATAAATCATTTTACAGCTCAACTGATCGTTCTTTTGTCTTTATATAATTAAGTTCACAAAAACTTGTGTTTTACTGAATTAAATGTATATACTACCTTAACAACTTTTTTTTTTCGAAGGAAGATGATTTTACCCTACTATCGGCATGAATCAACTTTCGCAGTAGCTCTTTTATTTGGTCCTCTATTGATCCTCGAGCTAGCCGCTTTAGATTAATCCGTTTACTGTATGAATTCGGCTTTCGAATGGCGGTCATGTCTTGAAAAACCACGTCAATATGCCTGTGAATCTTCACTGAGCTCAACTAAGAAGCAACCAAATTTAGGAAACAGCCAATTTATGATTGAGTTAAGTTTTGGTGGCACTTTCTTGGTAGACAATTTCATGTCATCTTTTTACCAGTGCTCGCAATCTGTCGAGCGATTAGTAGACATTCTTCAAGTTAAAACGATTGTTTTTACACTTTTAAATCTTTTTAAAAGTTTCCCAAAAATATTTAAAATAATTTTGATTAAATGTACCACTGCATATGTATAAGGACTGAGAATAAGCAATAGACCTMATATATTTCACTTGATTCAAAATTTGTTCGGTACCAAAAATTATTTACAATTATATATCATAAAATTCTAAATCAAATTTACTAAAAATTTTAATATTCATAAACTACACCAATAATTTCAGAGCGAAGCTTATTTTGTATTCCACAAAAATACTTTAGATAAAGCTTTGCATTATGTTACACAAGATGGTTTGTGTCGTTGCTATTAGCTTGTGCTKTACAGTTTAACAACCACTGATACGATCGCCTTTACAGCGATCGTTGAAAATTTTGCGATCGTATTCACCATTTCGAACAAATAACTATTACTGTGTACTAGCAACCGTACTTTTAGGTGATGTAGCCTATATCCACATAGTAAATTTTAGTTATTAATCAAAGTTCTTTTGAAAAAACACAATTTCTAAATAAGAACCCGAAATCAAAACTTTTCCTATCAGAAAGGTGAACAAAATGCCAATACTTCTTGAATAGGTTTAGCTTATTTATTACACAGAAAGTAATCAATCGTTCATTTGAAAGTAGCCAAATTTTTTATTAGGAAACTACAACATAATTAGATTTRTTTAAACTACATGAAAGCACCCGACTCTACCAGTTATCTCTGAGCCGTTGTTAATAAAAAGCTGGCCGTACATACCAAACTGTAGAGGTGGGCTTGCTCTTTGAACTTCAACAGCACAAGTACTATATCGTATCTAATAAACGTTTGGTGACTACCAATACTGTTGTGTTTTGTATAAAAAGTAGAAAACTCTTATTACTAATATAAAATGCAGACCGTTCAAGGGAAAGGAGTTGAATTACTCTCCAGTTCCGTCAAATACTCGGAGTTATGATAACAAGTTCTTCGAATCTGGAACTGCTGTAGAAGAGGCATTGCACCACAGTGGGCTCTAAACTTATGTCTTATATACAAGCTCATGGCGCGGTAATATGGTGGATGGTATTATTGAAACAGATCCTTATTAAACAGCCAGAATAGGTGCAATGGGATTTTTTGCTGAGGAATACGCACGCAATGAAAACTACCTCCAAAAAGGCTCTAAAGGTTATCCACGACATCCGCCAATATACATTAAAGTGAGGTATGAGGCATTGCTTACGGCCAGCCGACTCATTATTTTAAGCCATTTTATCATAATCCACCTTGTAAATGAAATCTTTGTAAAGTTGGCAATGCGACCGAGAAACGGAGACCCACGAGGAACAAACATACCGTTTTCATTCCACAGTAGAGAAGATTGGCACAATAGTTTTGTGATCGATAGTTCCAAAGACAAAATCTACATATTCATTGACGGATTAAAGAGTGAAAGAGGAACAGGTGCGGGTTCTTCTGCTGTAATCCGTAAACAGAAGGCAGATTCAAACTAAATGACTACAATTCAGTCTTTTGGGCTTTAATTAATAGCAGCTCACTTGGCATCTGGGCTTCTGTYTCAACCGGCAAGACCACTTAAGCAGCAATTAAGGTTTTCCCTAACGCCAATACTAAGTCTCATTGGCTTAGGTTTTGCAAACAGACAATAGATAGACYTTTAGTCAATAATTCGGTTAATATCTTTTGGGTACCCAATCATTTGGGAACAGAAAGAAAAGAAACGGCAGACGAGCTGCTCCGCTCGGGGGCTGTTAGAGACACAATGCTATGCTGCCCCAGGCCATTCAACCCTCTTCTAGGGTTATTTGAGCCAATGGACTCTAGTGGAACACCTCTGGTCTTGGAACACAAGCAATACACGGCATATCACAAGTTACTTAGGCGTAGTATTAATGGTGGACAGACCAAAAAGCTCCTATGCCTAGACAAAAGAGAGCTCCGTAACATTGTAGGGGTCATTACAGCACCTCCGAGAATGGGAAAAGTAGATTCGGCGACAAAAAATTATGTAACCGAATGCCCAGCCTTCCTATGTTCATGGAGAATAACATCTTCCTGAACCAATCTAAAGTTTTCTTGTACTTACCAAGTCCGAAACAACTTTCAATATCCGAACAAGACAGGAAGGTTTCGCTTTTGGTTATGTAATTAAAACAGTGCTTGACTCATACTCTTCAATAAAAGTAGATAACTTTGCCAACTACGTGAAGTTTTCATTCAAGAAAAGAGACAGAGTTACATAAGTTGTTTTGTTGTTTGTAAACACCCGAACTACRACAACTATTTCATTACCAACGCAAATAAGCAGTTGGTAAACATGACTACCGGCGTGCGAAAAACACGTACTTGCAGTTGAAGACCGTCGGCTTTGCGTAAGCTCAGGTGATAAGCGCTGAATTCTTTCTAATAACTGAMGAACGCACTTTGCCAAACTTTGCGAACACGGACCGACGAATAACGGTCAGATTGGTCCATTGAACCGAAGGCACATATTTTGGTGATAAGTAGTTGCTTTGGTGGTGAGGTCCGAAATTTGAATTTTACATTGGACTGTATTCAAATGGAGTATAAAAAGCCGGCGGCCCTGAAAACTTTAGTACATTCACTTTAAAGTTATTCGAGAATTCGCTTTACTAAAGCTTCAAGTCATAAGTATGTGGTTCATATTATTTGTTGGGAGCCTGATCACTTCTATGGCAAGCGGACTGTACACACCGATTTGCGCTGATGGCGGTTTACCCGTGTGTGCCACGAATGGCGTAGCATATCTTTACTTCGAAAACGAATGTAGACTCAATGCTTATATTTACAAGCAAATTTATCTTGGACATCGAGGTAAGCTTTATACTGCTTTTTGGGATATCTATGATACCACCCAGAAATTAAAAAAAAAGTGTATATTTCTTTCAGTTCCCATTAAAACGGACTTGGAAAACTGTTTACTAAACTGTCATGAAATTGTATGTCCAGTACTGTTTAAGCCTGTTTGTGCTCAGCAAGTGCCTGATGGAGCTGTGCGCACGGTGCCCAATGCCTGTCTCGTAAATCAGCTAATATGTTCAACTAAGCGACGTAAATATAAATTTTGATTTTAATTCCGAAAAATATTTATTCAATTTCTGAATTATTTACCWCTCCATAGACTGGAAAGTTATCGGCGAAGGACTCTGTGCGCCAACATTAAAACCACTAACAGATGAAGAGTATTCATTTACTTCACCACCATCTGAAGATTATCTTTCATCCGATCCGCAACCAATTTCGACATCCTATATTGCGTCATCCCCATACATAGGTCAGGAATACTCATCGCCGCCTTATTCTGATTCTTCATCGTATGCAGTTCAAGATCAAAGTGAAAATTACAGTGAATCAGCTCCTTATGCTACACCAGATAAAGCTTCAGTACAACCTACTCATGAGACAGCACAAGCAGCTCCTTACTCAGCTGCTGGTTCCGATCCTCTTCCATATACTGCTCCAGACCAAAGCCAAAGCTATCAAGCACCTTCAGATTCAGCACCTACAGATCAGAGCCAAAGCTATCAAGCACCTGCTCCAATCCCTGTTCCAATCACAGCACCTTATGTACCTCTTGACCAGAATCAAAACTATGTGGCGCCTACCGTTTCTGTACCAGTACCAGCACCAGCACCCCRTACCTACGCAACAGCGCCTGATTCAGAACAGGCACCATATGTAGCACTTGATCAGAGTCAGAAATGTGTTGCTCCTGCTGAAGTTCCGAAATCTTATTCAGTTCTGGAAACAATCCCATCCTCAGCACCATATGAAGTACAACCGCCTTCTGCACTCGACCAGAGTCTAAATTACGTAGTGCCAGTAGCACAGGATCCAGATGCAACTCAATATGAGGCACAGAAATCAGCCTGTCTCTTATACACATCTAGATGTGTATAAGAGACAGATATGAAGTACAACCGCCTTCTGCACTCGACCAGAGTCTAAATTACGTAGTGCCAGTAGCACAGGATCCAGATGCAACTCAATATGAGGCACAGAAATCAGCAATGGCACCTTATTCGGCAATTGACCAGAGTCCAACTTATCTAGCACCAGCTCCAGCACCCTTGCCCTATCCCGTACAAGAACCAGTCCCTGCTCCAGCACCAGCGCTTTACTCATCCCTTGACCAGGGTCAAAATTACACTGGCTCAGAACAGACACAAAGTTATGATGCACCATCTCCAGTTCCTGTTGCTCCTTATGAAGCCCAACAGCCATCACCAAMCGCTTATTCATCATCAGCCGTTGGTTCAGCTGTTGACCAAAGCCAAAGTTACGAAGTAAAAGCTCCAGCAGCTTGTGCCAATGGAGAAGTTCAGCAGATAGTTCCTTACTCTAATTCGCCATTAAATACTGATCCAGAACCTTACAGTGCTGCAGAACAGCCTGAAAATGACTTAGCACCAGCTTCTGTTTCTTACGCCTCAAAGTACCCAGATCCTGCGCCAACTGCAGCTCCGGACTCTTWTTCAGTACCTGATCTCACTCCTACACTGTACGTTAGTTCAGTGCAAGCGCCTGCTCCTTATGAAGCTCAACAACCAGCTCCCTATCCTTATGCTGCTAGTGATTCAGTACCGGTTACAGCTTCACAGAGCTCTTATGAAGCTCAACAACCAGCATCGGTTCCTGCGCCTACAGATTTGTCATATACTGATGCAGAGCAGTGTCAAAGTTACCCAAGCACTACACCTGCTCCAACTTCTGCATCTTATGCAAATACCGAAACAGCACCAGCTTATCAAGCGCAGGCACCTTCTACATGTTCTTGCATGACCTCAAATCAATATTCAGAATCGAAGACACCATTGTTATCAAACATTTACTCAAGACTTCCAGGATCCTTAGATTTGACGAAACTTTTTAAACAACTGCGCAGGCGCTTCGGAATGTTTGTTTATCAACCGAGATATACGCATATTATAATTAGTGATTAGACTAACTTGCGATGGTAATATKTATTTATTAGTGATAACCCATAATGGGTGCTAGCGTAGGCTTAATAATAAAGTGTGTTAAAAAAKCATATAAATTATTATTTATTTGGAGAATTTCAAGCTGTCAGTAAGCAAAATAATAGCATGCTTTCAGGCACTTTGGAAAAGATCTAGTTAATGGTGTAAGCCTTGACTAATAGCTGGGACACATTCATACTCTGATCAGAGAACGTATATTTATAGCAGAAAGAGACGTTCTCTGCTATAAATATACGTTCTCTGCTCTGATGTACGGTGCAGAGAACGTTTATCATATTATCTGTCCATGATAGACGTTCTCTGACTTTTGTCTACGTTCTCAGTTTTGTAACCACTGCAAAGCTTACAACTAAAGATATTGCGTGTTTGACTAACCTGCCACACTTGGTTGAAGTACGCTCACAAATCGAATCCAGCGAACACTGATCCTCGCCACCACCAATGGAATTGTAAACATTCTGATTCGTATCGAAGCAATAGCTACAACTACAATACGAATACTGCGAGCAGCAAAAGGACGAAGCCACCTCAGCGTCATCCAAATCTGTGATATGTATGGAACAATCACCATCACTGTTCGAACAACTCAGCTCACGTTCGGTGTATGAATGCGAAGAACGCGGTCGCGTGAGTGTATGACCTTCTGATGCAGGTGCGCTACGACGCGATCTACAAAATTACGAAAACAAAACGACAGCTCAACTCGGTGCACAACACGGTACAAGCGGGCATACTCACCTTTTGCTGCGCGTATCCACCGTCTCCACCACCACATTCCAGGTGCGATGTATCAGATAGAGTAGAAAGAGCATGCGCGACGTTTCACCATTCGGTGGCGCCGACGCTGGCGGCGTTTTACTGCGTCCATGACCGTGAATGTCATTGGTCGTGTGCTCACCGCGCCGACTTCTGTGCCGTGCTGGTAATGTTTTAGCTTTGCGTTGTGGCGCGCCGCCGTCACCATCGTCGCAGAGTGTTGAGTGATAGCGTGACTTTTGATTCCGCGGTGTAGTTGAAGCGCGTGATTTGCCCGTGTGGTTGTTGCTGTTGCTACTGAAAGCCGTTGAGCCGCGATGGACGGCGTGCGTCAGTGAATTTCCCATTATTGCAGCGGCATGTGAAGTGGCTAGAAAAAGAAGTAACATAAAGACTGTAGTATTCATTGCTTGAAGGTAGAATAARCATCTGTTGAATATTAAAATTAAAATTTAAAGAGATAAGCAAACTGAAATTAGATATGTTACCACTTGAGGGATGTCTGTGGAAAATAAGCAATCGAAAATTTGTTTAGAACTTCAACTGCTTTCTAGAATATACTTCTTGCTGCAACGCAGAGTAATCACCGCGTGAACTCAGTTTTGAGCGAAGTCAACCATAAATGAACACGCTATTGTAGTATTGCTAACCTATATATTGGTTAGTCGAAAAAGTCTTTTCGTTCTAATTTCTAATTAAATTTCAATTAATTTTTTTTATATTTATAATATTAAATAAATAGAAAATATGTTCCCTTTTTATCGAAAACTTTTTACCATTTTTTCGCTGGACATTATTCCATCAGTGTAAAACTTTCATCAGTGTAAGTCGAAATTCCGAAATTTCTAGAACGGAAGCAAACAAACCATTGTTGGGCTACACGAACTGATACAGCAACGTCTTCGTAAACTTCACAAATTTCATTGGTACCTTACGGGACATTCTTCCCTTTTTATGTAAAAATTTCGAAATATAGCAAATTTCTTCATTATTTTCAATCATTTTTGAACAGCTGTAAATTTTTTTCAACTTAACCGATTTTTTTTTTTGTTTTTCGTTTAAAGAAGCTTACAATCTCACCTTTCGAACACTATATGGTAGGACACAATGTGATTGATAGCATTGGGGATATACGACTGCAACGACACCGATCGTCAAAATACGAAAGGATTTTTTCGACTACTCAATATTAACGATTTTGTGAAACTTCATTCCAAACTTTTCTACTAATATATCTACAGCTTTGTAAAATTTCGAAAATCTAGGCCTTAGTGGTCTCTTATTTGTTTAACAGCTGCCAATGCTGATATGGTGAGATAGCAAGCTTTGATTGGATGGATCTTAGCACATTCTACCTATATAAAATTAAAACCCTGCCAACTGTTGCGCGTACCGTAAATAACCACACCTGCTCTCTCCATTCAACTCAGATCTGCTCTTTCTTTAGGGAAATGCATAATTTTCGCTTGCTCTCACTTAAAAAATAATTTAAGAAATTCCAACTTTGTAATAATTAAAGGCAGGACTTAACTCAAAGCTAACGAAATAAACATTATAACTCCAAAAGCAATATGTTGTAAGAAATTGCTAGATTTAATAAAACTAATCGTTAATTTAATGTTCAATTTCTAATTATACACAAGCATACATAGCAAGCTTGAATTGTTGCTTCATTTCACCGAACACCTAAGCACTCTGACCGCCTTTTTTAAGTACCCATTAAAATCGACACAAATGCTACCTGACGCTTTGCAGCTACGCTTTTCGAAGTCTTTCGCTCATTACTAACGATTTAACTTCAAAATCCTATGCCCACAATAGCTATCGCTTACATTCGCAACAACAACAAAAGCAAGCTGGTGAGTTGCTAATTTTATGCTATTTCATTATTTCGTGCCTTTTACATTTTTTGTTTTGTCATTTTTTTTTTTGGTTTTTTTTGTGATTTTTTGTTGTTGTTGTTTTGCAAACATGTTTTCTTTTCCGCGCCTTTGTTTTGATCAGCTCGACTTAGTTGTGTTTTTTCTTTTTGTTGTTTTTCTTGCTACTTGTTTGGCATTTTTATTTGTTCCTTTTTCTTCGTACATTCTGTTGTCCGCCTCATTTGTCTATCTGTCTTCATCATCACTTTACACATGCATTGTTCTATCAATTTCGTAATCGCCTGTTGTCGCTGCCGTTGAAATGTAAATCTATGCAATTTTCATGGGTCAAGCTTGACTGCGGCCTCTCAAGCCCACTTAAGTATGTACGAGTATGAGTATCGCAGTTTAGACCCCAAAATGTGTGGTTCTAATATGTTATTATTGTTGCAGTTACATTGCTAAAATTGCTAAGTGTGCTAAGTTCAATTGAGGCTATTGCAGTTGAGAGGGCAGCTACGAAAATTTAATCAAAGAAGTTCATACTTAGAGATTATCTATTAGAGCGGTATTGCATTCTTGAATTTGAAGTTATGAAATTAGTAGGATCTCATAATTCTGCTGAAAGGAGGCGTACACATTTTTAGTACCTCTTTCATCTGAATTGAAGACAAAAAATTTTTGTAGAGCGAATATTTGTTAAACCAGTCTTACGACAAAGACACTCGATGCTATTGATAGCGAGATTAGAAAATCCTCGACCAACCCTGAACGCACTGTTATTGATTTTTCACTTGTCTAAATGAAGCCGCTCTCCGGAGCAGCAATTCTACTGCTACCTAGATGGCTGCAATTTCAGCTTGGAAGAAACTGCAATAGTCAGGAAGTCTGAAACTGAAGTTGATAGAGAGCTCCCGACAGTGCTCAGTCCTTGCCACAAAGCTTTGACCCATTCGTAAATAAGCTAAGAAGCTCACTGCCCCTCTCCTCCAACTGCTTCTCCCCACCAATAGTTAACTCGTCAGTATATGGGCAGAGAAGCAGCCGCCAGAGTTCGGTTTAGCGACTCCACGATTTAGATTATCCGGTATTCAATCAAAGAGTGTGAGTCTAATAGCCACTTTCGCTGTTATTCACCTTCCGGCGATGGTCACGGCTATTATATTCAAAATTTTCTCAAGTTTCTTTGCAAGTGTGGTCTTTTCTAAAGCCCTCCACCACATAAAGACATTTGTCTAAATTATGTTTTCACAAAACCCTCAATACCCTGCCTAACTATTTTATACCAAGAAATTCGTATTAACCCTTGAGTTATGCGCTACTTTTTCTCTGACCTTGCTTTAACGGTAAAGTTTGACATATATATTCGTCTTACCGCGCACGATATGATTAATGTGAACATAAAATTTGCATTCGCTTCATTTGGATTTCGGCATGCTTTCTTTACTATGGTTTATTGTTCTGCTTCGGCAACTTGAACAATTAAATATGAAAAATATCTGCAAAAGACTTCAACCACACATATGTACATATAGTAGAAGTATATGATGGTAAAGTATGAATACATGATTAACTCTTGCTTTGCTTTACATTTATCTACACCATCTTAATCACAAACAGGTGTACGTATCAATTATGATGGATATGCTATGCGGTGGAAAGTCAAACGTCGGCAGGTAGAGAAGTAATTAGTTTCTTGTTTTAGTATTAAAAAATTGTTAGCGGTGATGAAAGATCTGTAATCATAAGTTGTCTTATTAAGCAACGAAGAGAGCTTTGAAAAGCCAAGAGTATAATGAACTGCTTTTGAAACCAGAACTAAGAACAAATTAGAAAAGTCCATAAATGGTAAAAGTGGTAAATATTCAGCCAGCTATTTTGAACACTTTCTGGTCAACTAGTCTTATTTCAACTGGCATTTGAAGAAAATATTAGTTGTAATTCTTGGACCATAGTAATAAAAGAATCAACCCAATGTTCTGATTGTAATGCTGAAAATGACTTAATGTTATCCTAAAAGTAGGCAGGGTTAGCATGCAAAGAAAAATATTGCCTACATTTAGGAAATTTTAGTCAATTTTCACACCTATTGCACAATGAATATTAATTTTTTATAAAGCAGCAATATACACGGATAGGCAGGCGGCTCTCCTAGCCTTGTCGTCGCCCATGACTAATTCCAGCATAGTCCTAAACTGCAATAAGGCACTGAGCTCACTAGAAGACACGCTCCACCTAGACTTGATGTGGGTTTCCGACCTCAGGAACGTTTTCAGCAACGAAAAGACAGACGAGTTGGCAAAGGCATGAGCTTTCCTAAACGAATACGAAGCAGATCTAATACCAAGCCCTCTAGGATCGACCAGCAGAGAGCTCAATGTACGTATGTAGTTGC